TCTGTTTCTTTCTCAGGTTGGTACCCTTTCTTCTTCTTCTTCTTGTTCTTCTTCTTCTTTTTGCGGGTGTGTGTTTGGTTTTCTTCATTATTATCGGGAATGCAAGAGGAGGACACCAAGGCCATTTTGGGGATACCCGAAAAAAGACAACCCGGCGTGCTTTTTGTTTGTTGGTGTTGGTTTTCGGTTTTCCGCCCGATGTGGTTTGTGCTGCTTTCTGTTTGTTGACAAATGTGTCTTGACTTACTTCCGCTGCTTTTCTCCGAGTGTGCCTCCTTGTTTTTTTCCCGATGTGTCCGATTTCTTCGGTTGTTTGGGATCGCTGGGCCGCCGGGGGACCCATGTTCCAAAGAGGAAGCCGAGCAAACCGTGCCCCAGAGCGAACGGGTTTCCCTGTCGGCAGCCAGAATTCCCACGACCAGTTGATCCACGAGCCAACTTAGTTCCACTCGGTGGTTTGGGTTGTAGAGGGCCAAGGTTTTTCCCCAACGACTGAAAGCTTTGGGGTCTCTGCAAAAGACGACTCTGGGGGTGGTTTGGAGCAGCTTCAGGGGGGTTCCCGGGCGGTTGGATCCAGATGCTCTTATTTTCATCACTGAAGTAGCCCCGAAAATGGGAGATGTCAGCCCCTTTCCACGGAAACCGCTCTTGACATTTAAAAAGAAGAACGTTGGGGAACCGTTGGGGAAGTGTTCGACACGTACGCGACGGAGGACCAGGTTCACCAGTGGAAGTGCCAATGGGAACTGCTGGCTTCAACCCGACCATTTTTGGCTGACGCAATTTTAATGCTGAAACTCCAACTAGCTCCCGCGAATTGGAATCTAGGCGCGGAAGGTTTGCTTCAAACTTTGGTGTACGGTATTGGATTGGGGGAACCCTTTGGGGAACCCTTGGGGACCATTTGAGGCGTTGGACGGGGCCATGTTGTGACCTCTCACTACTGCCTTGACTCAGTTTGGCCCGTTTCAGTGGCTTAAGTTTTGCCCCATCCACTCTTGCGCTTTGGAGCACCGGAATGACGCGCCACGGCAACCATCCAACTTCCAATGTAGAGATCCGTCAGCCTGACAGCCCGGAAACCCATGGTAACGAGCTGGTTTTCTGGAAACGGCGCGCGGCGGTATCCCAAAAAGCACTGGAACCCTCCTTTTGAACCCTCCCACGCTGCCCCAAGCCACCCCTTATCGCCTGGGAAAAGGCCTGTATTCATGTGTTGGGGAAACCTTCTTTCCCGGATAAACATTGTTTCTAGGTCCTTTATCGTTTTGTTGTGGCGTTGGTCTGAAAATGATTTCGCCCTGTGTCTTGTTTCCCGCGGTACATGGGAGAAACCGAACCCCCACGCCACCGCTTTGGCGGCGGGGTCCAAACCAGAGGCCGCATCATCCGCGCCATGAACTTCTTGGACTCGATCTTCGGGTCAAAGCTCTCTGGGGGTCTCCGTGGGACGTGGGCGGCTGTTCCTTTTTGCGGTGCGAAATGGAGGTCTTTGTTTTGGTTCGTTTGAATCCCCACAAAAAATGCGGGGATTCCTTTTGGTTTGCCTGCAAACAACTCACCAAAAGAGGGTTGCCCGATACAAAGGCTCCCTGAATCATAGTTGGGGCTTGCCGCCAGTTGACCAGTTGGTTGGTTGGTTGGTTGGTTGGTTGGTTGGTTGGTTGGTTGGTTGGTTGGTTGGTTGGTTGGTTGGTTGGTTGGTTGGTTGGTTGGTTGGTTGGTTGGTTGGTTGGTTGGTTGGTTGGTTGGTTGGTTGGTTGGTTGGTTGGTTGGTTGGTTGGTTGGTTGGTTGGTTGGTTGGTTGGTTGGTTGGTTGGTTGGTTGGTTGGTTGGTTGGTTGGTTGGTTGGTTAGGAAATAAAAACACTCCAGCCGACCCCCTGATTGATGCATAGGTGCTTGTTTCATCGGACGTTCTGTTGGGGAGGAGAAGAGGGGCCCACCCAGTTTGGCCACAAAGCCAAAAGCCCGACTCAGCTCATCCATGGGGAACGAGAATACTGTCCATTCACGCACCCATTTGCATGTATGGGCCCTATCCATGCGTGTGCCCTGGGGGTCCGCACACGCAAGCACTGCTTCGTTCCTCGAAAGGGGCCCCAAGAAGGGGTGGTCACATCAATGAAAGGAGGGTCAGAAAGCACAACGGGTGAAACGAAATTGCGCCAAAGAACCCCCTTCAACATGGTTTATCCTGGAGGTCTTTGCAGGTTTCCTCAACGAAGGGAAACTGCCTCGCCAGAATTTCCGGTGTGGGAAAGGTTTTGCATCGTTTCGTTCGGGATTCGGGGCTCTTTCCAGTCAACCCACTTGTGTGGCACCCTCTAAAATCTGGTTTGGGGGTTCACACTAAAATATGGTCAAGCCCGAGGGATCACCTCAGATCAGGGGACCCTGAACGGGTTCTACTAAACAGGGCCTTTTGCACAAAAGGACAATGATATGTGTAGCATCGAAGCCCATGTTGGGCGTGGCTCCAAAAACAAAGAAGCTCGGGTTATATAATTCGGCAGGTGTCCGTCTTCGGTTCCGGAAAAAACCAAGGTGCCATTTTCTTGGTGGTTTCCAGCCATCCCCTCAGCTTTTCAGCCTTTTGGTATTTGGTGGTTGGATTTCCATTTCACCCAAAAGTTAGTCACTTTGAGCGGGGGATCCGAATCGGACAGCCCAGTTTTGGGGGTTCCATTTCTTGAGCCATTTCTCTTGATCTTCGGTTCCGGAAAAGCCAAGGTGCCATTTTGGGGCGTCCCCTTTTTTTTTGAGCCACCGCCGATCACCCAGCCCCGATCGCCCGAAAAAAGTCGGACTGCTCCGAGGATCTTCCAGGTGGCCGACGTGGACGGCAGCGGCGCCCTGAGCAAGGCGGAGGTGGGCAAGTATCTGTGCCGCAAGGACCCGCCGGCGTTTTTTTTTGGGTGGAAAGAACCGGAAGGCCGGCGCGGTTTTGAAGGAAAGAACCGGGGGTTCTATGTCCTTAAATGGGGAGTTTTTGGGATTCCATGTTTGTTGGGTGTGTGTTTTATGTCCTTAAACGGTTTTTTTTTGGATTCCATGCTTTTGTTGGGTGGTATGTCCTAAACTGGGGGGATTTTTGGGGACCCCACATTTTGTTGGGGTGGTTTGCCCAAAGGAAGCCGGCCAAAGGGTGCAGATTGGCCAGCGAGAAGCTGGGGGGTTCGGCGAAGTGAGACCTTGCTTTGAGGGAATCTGGGCGCTCTGAATGGTTGCAGGGTCCAATGGCATGTTGCCTGTTTGCTGCAGTCTTCAAAGGGAACTACCATTCTAGACGGTGCCCCCCGCTCAGGGCACATGCTTTCTCTTTAGGGGACCCTGTTCTCAAGGTTTTCGGCGGGCGCGAAGGGAGCCCCATGTTTTTTTCCGCACGAAGGGAGTTTGAGGAAACATGGGCACCACGCGGCTTTTGTCCTTTATTTGCCCCACCACCATAGCGAGGGTCTACTCACCAGGGCTGGAGTTCTCGGACGTTTTTCGCCGGCTCCACCCGCCGACTGACGTTCCAAATTGCTCGCGGCAAGGAGGTCACGGACAAGCTCCACTCTCTGAAGCTCTTTGTGCCTGACTGGTCTGGGGCCCAGTTCCCAGCCAAAGCTGGGCCCAACCTTCAGCCACAAGTCGTTGATTCTCCGGATAATCATTGGGACATCTTTGCTTGAGGGCGCCTTTTTGGTGGGTCTTCAAGAGAAACCACATTTTTGCGGGGTCCTGGAAGACAAGAATCCCCCTAAAATGGCACCGTTGGCGGGTTCCATGTTGGTGCACGTGAGGGCAACTGTTTGGGCAAGTCACCGCTTCCCCAATAACTCGCAAACCAACAAGCTTCAGGGGCTCAAATTTGCTCAACAGCAAAATAACCTGGGCCCAATGGGATTGTTCAGTGGATGCATGTATTCTTCTGAGTATTTTGGCCCGCCAGAAAGAAAGCAGCAGACAACATTCCCCCCCCAACCAAAAAAGAACAACGAAAAACAACAACAAAGAAAAGTAGGAGAAAACGTGAAAAGACATGCTTCTCTCAAGTTTTAGCCCCCCATTTTTCAGCCACAGCCAAACTTATGAACCAGTTTGATGGTTTGTCGCCGTCATTTAGGGGCTTCCCCAATTCGTGGGTTTTCCTAGAGGGGGCATCCCTTCACCACAAAAATGGCGGAGGTGGGACGGGGGGGACTGGCGCGAGGTTGGAGATGTTCGAGGCCATGGACGCGGATGGCGACGGGGACGCTTGGCGTTCGCTGAGCCATGACTTTGCTGCGAAATCGGGGAATGAGAAAGGAGGGGTATTTATTTTAGTTTTGTTTTCCTCGTTTTTTTTCTTCTCGCTTTTGGCTTCTTGGCTTCTTGGCTTCTTGGCTTTTCGGCTTTTCGGCTTCTTGGCTTCTGGGCTTCTGGGCTTCTTGGCTTCTCGGCTTCTGGGCTTCTGGGCTTTTCAGCTTTGCGGCTTTTGGTGGCTTGTTTCGCATCCTCTGCATTCCCAGTTCCTCTTCGGCAGGCTTTTGCGGCTTTTCGCTGGTTTATGCGGCTTTTGGCGGCTTTGGCTTTTCGCATCCTTCGAGTTTTTTTTGGTTTTTGGATTTGGCTTCCCGCATCATCAGCATGACCACCACCCTGTTTGAATCATCACTTCTTCGGACATCATGGGGGGGAACCCCCCCCCCCCAACCCACACGCTACTGTTTAGATTGTTTGCAGAGTAATTGCACCCCTACTTGAATCAACTCTTCTTCAAACATCATGGGGGGGGTTGCCGCCTCCCCCCCGTTGCTTTTTAGATTTCTTGCAGAGATTGAATTGCACCCCTGTTTGAATCATCACTTTTTCGAGCGTCCAATTGCGCGAGAAAATGCTGCAAAATACGACATTTTAGGTAATCTGTGTAATCCATGTATGTCTGTATGCATGCATTTCTTCGAACATCATAGGGGAAGCCACCCCCGCCAACCCTCCCGCTGCCTTTTAAATTCTATCACACCCTTTCTTGAATCATTGCACCCCTACTTGAATCATCACTTCTTCCGACATCATGGGGGGGGCTGCCGCCCCCCCCAACCCCTCCCCCCCCCGCTACGTTTTAGATTTTCTACAGAGATTTAATTACACTTTTAGTTGAATCTTCAATTCTTCGAACATCATGGGGGGGGCTGCCGCCCCCCCCCCAACCCCCCCAGCCAGTTTTTAGACTTTTTGCAGAGATTTAATTGCACCCCTATTCGAATCATCACTTCTGCAACCATCATGGGGGGGCCCCCAAATCCCCCCCGCTGTTTTTTTTCTCCTGGGATTGAAATGCCCTCCTGTTTGAATCATTATTTTTTTGACCCCATCAACCCGCCAGCTACTTTTTGGATTTTGTTACCCACGATTTGTTGGTGATGCTAGGGATGTTGGTAGAACATGCGGGGGATGTTAAAAACGATGCTGGGGATGTTGACGGGCTAGTGTAAAATGCGTCAAGTTTGCGAGAAAATGCTGTAAAATACGACATTTTACTGGCCCGGACGAAAAACGAAAAAACAAATCCGGAAAAAGAAAGAAGAAACAAAATCCGCACCCAATGAGAAATGGAATGACACGGAGAAAAACCATCCAACTGGCTTCCCTTTTTTCGTTGGAATCCCCAACCGGTGGATTCCCTTAAAAGGAAGCCACCAGTTGGACGGTTTTTCTCGGGATCATTCCCCCATGAATGAGAAATGGAATGCACCGTTTGGGATTCCAGCGAATAAAGGGAAGCCAGTTGGATGGTTTGTCTCGGGGTCATTCCATGTCTCATTCCCTCCCGATATCTACCGATGTCGCACCAGCAAGACGAATGGGGAACCGTATGAAAAGTCAACCGAATCCCCGCCGAAGTTTGATGTCGGGCCCCCGGATTCAACATTCATCTCGATTGGAGTCTCCCCGGAATTGGATCCGCTTGTTTGAAGGCAGAAGAAGGTGAACTGACTCAAGTCATTCATGCCGCTTGGCGGGCTCCATGTTCTGCACACCTCGCCTTTTGGGTCGTTTCAAGGCGCAGAGGTTTTTTTGACTCAGGTGAGCACGGCTTGGTCTCAATGATTCATGAAACACAGTTTGTCCCATCATCCCGAAAAGGGGAATGCTGACCCCATATAAATCAACCCCAGTTTATGAATAGGGGGTGTCCCTGGGTGAAATGTGGGGAATGAGACCACTATTGGAGGGGCCCCCACCCCATACCAATAAACTGGGATTGATTAATATGGGGTCAACAGATTCCCTCGGAAAAAGCTGCAACACAAAATTGATGAGGATATAGGATCTTAAAAACTGCTTTCCTGTGTCTTTCCCTTTCACCTTTTTCATCTATTTGACAAATATGTTTAAGCTGAAAAAGATAAGGTGAAAGACAGGGAAAGCATGGGAAAGATAAGCACCATCCAAGATAAAGGGAAGAAGGGGGGAATGGTGCTTGAGTGTGTGATAGAGGTTAACCTAGATTTGTTTAGGGAACCCATAGGATGGATGGCTTTGCAGGGGAAGCCCTGAAGAAATTGATCGCTCCAGATGAAGGCGGAATAGCTTTAAGAGCATCATCATCATCATCATCATCATCATCATCATCATCATCATCATCATCATCATCATCATCATCATCATCATCATCATCATCATCATCATCATCATCATCATCATCATCATCATCATCATGTACGCCCAATTTAAGAAGGCTTCCGGCTTGGCCCGTGGTTGGTTTACTTGCCATATGAAGGGAAACTGGATTCAATATGGTCAAGTGAGGAGGCCAGCATGGTCTTTTTTGGGGCCTGTGCAAGACGAGAGGCAGTCTGATGTTGCTTAAAGAGATCTTGAGCAAAGGGCCTTACCAAGGGTTTGATTAAAACGATCTCCCAATCCGGTTGGGATTCTTGTTCTCAGACTTTCTTTCAGGAACGACAGGAAACCGACTTTCAGAGCCAACTCGAGCAGTTGATGCGGTGCTTGCGATTCCTCCCGCGGTTTCGGGGTTTCTTTGAGAGGTTGTGTCTTCCAACTCAGGCAACCCTGAGGCTCCAATCCATTTGCCATGTGCGATGCGGGCGCGAACCCCGCGACTAAGCAAGCACACGCCGCACCTAACCATTGGTGAGAGCACGCATATGCCATTTTCTTTGTGAACCGATCCCCATGTTTGCCCCGAAAATATCTTAAGCGTAGCGCCCACCCAGAAACCTGGCCAGGGATCCCTTTCCATTTTCTTGAAGGCGCCACAAGTGTCTTGATGTGTTTCTCAAAGCACAACCTGTGCTCAACACCGGCGGGCGCTCGGAAAACAATTCAGGAGTGACTGGTGTTCAAGGAGAATGCATAAGGCAACTCCCCAGATGAAGAGTTCCTCAAAGGAATCCCAAATCAACCTGCTTTACACTTGAATCCTCACCAGCTCGCAAAGGCCCAATCCCCCCAAGCGACGATTGAGAAAGTGATTACACCTGTTTGAACCTTTGTAGCCATCCCAGTGGGAAACCAGCAGTTCCCTTATATTTTATCCGGGTCCCCCCCATGCTGGAAAATGGGGAATCACTCGGCATGTTACCAAGATGGGTGACTTTGGGTCACTCAGGGCAATCAGGAATGGTTGCTCAAGCACTCAGAGAAATGGCTGGTGGCTAAAAAAAAACTTAACATAGCACCTTGGTAAACAGAACCAAAGGCCCCAATAGTCGATCGACCCCCCAAACATGGCGCTTACCGGTTTGCCTTTTGGTTTCCCTTCAACCCCAAAACGGGCTACCAGCTTACTCCAAAAAAGACGGGCCACCCAAATGAGGACATGAGGACTTACCCCAGACATGGCGAGCAAAAACCGGTTCTCCTTTTGGCTTCGACAAAACATACGGAGTGAGATGCACTGATCCCGAGAGAAGCCATCCCCCAAAAAAACGGGCCCCAACTCCGAGGACGAGCCGAGACCACCCTTAGGTGTCCCGTTCCTCCTGTGGATGGTTGCGAAATCCAGAAATCGCGCCAGTTTGAAGCCATGGTTGAAAAGCCAGCGTTTGTGGGTATTTACAGGGGAATCATCAGAAACCCAGGGGTTTCTGAGGTTTCTGGATTTCGCAAGCATCCACTAGGATCCTGATAAACAGGAAGTACAACGTAGCCACGGAGCATTTCGGGCACTGGGATTGCAAGCCAACGGGGAAGCCATCCACAGCAGGGTTGTGGGATCCAGGAATTGATCCCAACTTCTGTGATACTTTCGGGAGTCTCTTTATATGGGTTGGTCTTTGGCTTCGAGGCCGTTTCTGTATCACAGCTTCGTGGCTTCCATTTAAACCACAGCCCTCCACCAATGCCCACGGTTTCACCATCCACATGTCCTCCGGGGTTTCACCGCCATGTCCTCCATGTTTTGCAACTCTTCATATGGGTTGGTCTTTGGGCCTCTTTTTTGTATCACAGATTTGTGGGAAAAAAAGAAGAAGAAAAAACACATTTCAACCACAGCCCTGTTCCCATCCACAGTAGGATCCTGATTCGTGAGCCCAATGCCGGGAAAACCATCCACACTCTGGACGGACGAAATCCATTTCGCACCACTTGGAAACCATGGTTGAAACCTTAACGTTTGTTGAGTATTTACGTTGGAGAATCATCAGAAACCCCGGTGTGTCTGAAAGGTGGTGCGATGTCTGGCTTTCGCAACCATCCACATGGAAACCCTAAACCCTAAACCCTAAACCCCTAAACCGAGACCCTCCCTAAAATCCGGGGAACAAAAAAAAACACCATTCTTTCGGCTGGGTGTTCTGAAAAAACACCCTGCCGCGAAGAAAAAAACCACCTCCACATCTCCCTCCCTTCCACTCGCTGCCTCAGCCTTCCTTCCTTCGCCTCGCGCGCCTGCGCGCGCGCCTCCGCTCACGCGGAGACGCGCGGGGCGCCGCGCGGCGGAGGATCTCACCTGGGCGGAGCTCTCGGTGGCGATGCGCCGCATCTGGACGCAGCTCGCCGGCGCGGAAGCGGAAGCGACGCTCGGTTCGCCGAAGGGGGGGTTAGTTGCCCGCCGGGGGGGGAAGGGGGAAGGGAAGGGGGGGCGTGTTTTTTTTTGTTTGGGGGGGGGTGTTCTTTTTCGGCTTGCTGCGGGTGGGGGGGGGGTTCGCTCTTTTTTTGTTTTTTGGTTTTTGTGATGTTGGTGGGCTGGACTGGTTGCGAAGTCCTGGTTTCTTGGGTTTTCTGGGGTGGAAGCCTCAGCTCGTTTGGTGACTTTGTTTTAAACAAGAATGTGGTTTGTCGATTTCTGGGGATTTCTGGGGTGGAGCTGATCAGTTCTCGTTTTCTGTTGTTTGGTATTGTGTTTTCTTTTTCTGGGCTATGGGAGGGTTTCGGGTAGTTGACTTGCCCAAGGGTGATGTTGCAAAGGCTGTGGCCAATGGAGGTTTGGTCTCGCGGCACAAACCCCCCAAAACCCCAAACGCGGATCGACCGTTTCGACAAGCCTTTAAAAAAAAAGCTAACAAAATTCTACGCAAACCCAACCTTCGCGCGATTCACGTGACAGTGTGTCTTGCTTGGACCATAGTCAGCTAAGCAACACATGCAGATTCCCCACGCATATTCCAAGTTGTAACTCAGTAGGCACTTGCCGAATCCCTCTTGGCGCTTAGTCGTCTCAGGTGTCCCCGGCCAGAGTATGCTAAGCAAGCAAGTCTTTCTGACTACATCTTCATAGGATACACCCCCCTCCCCCCCCCAGCTCCCCAACCCTCCCCGAACCCTAGGCCTACCTGTTTCCCCGAAACAAGACCCTAGACACATACTTTTTAGAGTTCGCCCCTGCAACTGTCAGGCCGTCACATGTCCGGAACCCAAAATTGACCATAGACTTCAAGTTGACCACATTTCGCAACCAAAGAGGTGGCCAGGCTGGCAGACACCCAGCAAGTTGTTCACATCCTTGTAGCTTTCACCAAGCATCATGAGGCGTTGAGTTGAACGGACGTTGTGCCGCTGGGGTCAAACATCCATACGGTCAAAATAGGTTTTTGCTCCGCGTTGCCATGGAACCCAAGAAATGGCCCCTTGAGCGTGGTCGAAGCACGACCAAGTTACGTCCGAAGCACGGCATAGCTTCGCAATTGCAGAATCGTGCCTGCGTTCTGGGGGGAAACTTTTTTTTGTAGACCCCTAACCTTTTGGTGCAACGGAGGTCAACACGGCTGTTCGGAAAATGATTTTTTGGGTAGGCCAGGTTTGAAGGGATTCCTGCACGCACGCTGCGCCCTTTTTTCGAGGCCGGGCAACAGCGAGAGTGAGGACGAGGAGTGAGGGCCGAGTCTCCCACAGAGTAAGTCAGGAGAGACATGAGGGTTTCCCTCAAAAAAAAGGTTCTTGCGAACCCTGAACAAGGTTTCAAGATCTTTTCATTTTTGGTTCTTCCGAACCCCGAACAAGGTTGCAAGAACTTCTGTTTTGTGGTTTATGGGGTGGCTCAAGGGCAACCAGACACATTTTCCCAGTCTTATAGCTGCAAAGTGCCATCCTAACCCTTCGCATTGATCGGCGCCCGGTGTTCAATGCAACGTCCGAAGCCTCGCATAGGAAAGCCAGAGGTGTGAGGTCAACTTCAATATACAAGCTTTGGTGCTATGAGAGGGGCTTACTGGATGATCTCTGAGAAAGCATCCCAATTGCCCAGTAGGGATTCCGGCCCCTTTTAAATGTTTTTCCGACTTTTTGGTTGGGAAGGGTTCCCCTTTAAACTGAACCAATAAAAAAGGGATGCCCTTTTTTTCTCCCATGGCCACTGGGCATTTGAGGCATCATTCGTGGAACCCTTGGATGAAACCGCTTGGTCTGCAAAGCTGGCCGGATACACTCCCCATGAAAACTGGACCTGGTTGGTCCCGCAACGGCCAGCCTTCTGTCTAGTGCCGCTTGCATGCGGCGCAGCGGTAAGGGAAAAGGGAAAGGGTGAGGACCTGCAGCGCTGAAGGTGGTTTCACCTTCTCACTCCCTGAGTTCCTGGACTTTAATCTTTTTGGGAAGACCATTTTAGTGGTAAACAGGAAGTTTGAACTTTTTTGTGCCCATCAACTTAGGAAGTGAGCCTTGCAACCGTCTGTCAACAACTCTACGGTGTGCGGATTTTTCGTGGGGTCTGTTTCTGCTTTCGGCATTGGAGTTGTTGCATCCTTCGGCCTGTTCATGACGCCGGCGAACAGATTCTACTTGCACTAGAACCCCTGGACATTGATTCCGTCACTGATTTCCCCAAGACAAAAGGCAACTTTCCGAGTTCTTTCCGAGCGAATCCTGGCCTGCATGTTGGATTCTCAACCCTCTGTGAGCTAGCTTTCATCCACCTCGTCCGGCTTATCTCGTCATCTCTCTGCCTCTTCCCTCGTCTTTTTCTCTCTTTCATTTCCTGTCTCACCTCGTTCCTCACTTCACAGGCTATGAACAGACTGGAGAGACGGGAAGTAAAGGGACGAGGCATTCATCTCTATCTTGTTCACCACATCCTATCCCACTCATTCCTTCGGTCATCTACAAATTACTTTAGGATGTGGAACAAGAATGAGAGAGATGAATGGGCGTTCTTTCTCCTATCCGCTCCTCTCTCCTTTCGTGCGTGTCTATGAGAGCGAACCAGGCGACGAGAGAGGGAGAAAGAAGACACGCACCAGCTCATTCCCTTCTCTCACTCACTCATTTCTTCGCTCATCCGGTCATTACTAAAATTCAAACACCAAAGAAAGAGAATTGCAATCTTATCATTTCCTGATAATTATTATTTATTACTGTCCTTTTCTTATTGTTTATATATTTGCCTTTTTCAAATATTGTCATATCTATGATTATTTGTATTATTCCTGAGGTTTTTTTTTTTTTTTTAATATCCTTCTTTTATCGGTTTGTCTTCTATTTCCATTTCTAAATCTCACCGAAGGTACCATCAGAAGCTATTTCTCCTCTTAATCCATTCTATCATTACCATCCTATCATCTCACATTATGTTTCTCTTTCCTTATCTTTTCTATACCATTCCTAATATATATATATATTCTCTCCACTACCTGTAAACAATTGGCTTTAGGATAGGCTCTTGACATCCCCATTAGCTCTCAAGGACTTGTCTGAGACAGATGTCGTAAGGGAATGATGGAGGAATAGAGACTCCAAAAGAAACAGGAAATGATAGAGACATAGACTGGGATGAACCGCCTGGTGGTCTCTCATCTCCCTTACACACTCCTATCGAGTGAGCCCGGAGACTGTGATGAATATGTTGATGGGCGTGCGGTTTCAGATGGCAAATGGGAAGCGCTCTCCAAACCACCAAGTAAGATTAGCTGAATTTTAAACGGGGCCTTGTGGTGGTTTAACCAACAAGCGGACCGCCAAACACAGAAAAGGTCCACCACTCTAAGGTTTGATTTTGCATTCTCTTCACCCATGGTTTTCTTTAGAACCCCTATTTTCCGGGGCTTTTGCCAATTTTTTGAAGAGAATGGGGAGGGTACAGCTGAATTCCCCGGAGTTGCAACAGTTTGCCGCGTGGCTTCCTTCCAGTGGCGCAATGGCGTTCAATGAACGAGCTGTCGCACCAGCACACTGCTGCAAATTAACTGCACGACCCCCCCCCAAAAAAAATATGAAGAAGAAAAAAACCGAGCAAAAAAAGAACAACATCCTTTACCAGCACCCCCCCCCCCAAACCACTGCTTTGCGGGCAGTACTTGGGATTTTGGACATGGGAAAAAGCAGTGGGGTGCGGGTAAAGGAGTTTCCTTTCGGGACCTTGTGCATCTGGGGAGACGCCGGAAGCACCAGGAGGACTCCCTACCGTGAATACGAAGGACGAGCTGTGAGGGAGCTGCTTGTGGTTTCAGCTGCGAACCTTGAACAGCCGCCTTTGGTTGGTATTTTTTGAAGGGAAATCAACTGGAAACGGCAAAGTAGGAAATGGACTTCCGTTGCAACACGCCCAGTCCACCCGCTGGTTCGACACACCGGGCTTCCAATTTTGCAGACCCCCTGCTTGTCCAATCTTGATCCCCCAATTCAGTCCAGTGAGGCTGAATTGACAGGTGTTTGAGTTCCATGGTGTTTTGACAGGCTCGGGGCTTCTCGAAAGGTGCGCCAGCGGTTTCTTAGTGTCCCATTGATGCGCCAAAGGCGATGGGCGCCGTTTGGCGCGAACATGTGGGTGTGTCTCAAAAATGCCACCTTGAAACAAGGAGAAGAAAAAAACCAACAGCTGATAGTTCCCTTCTGGTTTTCCACTCAACCAACCCCAAAATGATATCCTCAAGAAAGGACACACCCATGTGGATTTTGAATCGGGTTCTTTAGAGTGCTCATATTTTTAACGATGTCGAAGACATCCCTGCTGCATCCGTTCGTGGGCTGGAGCGCGCAGACAAGGACATCCACCTGCCCAGTGATTCCATCTACCCATAGTAGGTAACAAAGGTAGCCACCCTGTAAAAAGTCAAGGAGAACAACACTAGTCGCCAACTATACCCCCTACATCTCCCTGTTGTGTTTCTTCTACGCTTTGAACAACCTGGTTTTCCATGATAAATGTCCTCATTAAGGGCCTGACATCGTCGCAACTGGGATCTGGGTTTGGCTCGGACAAGGCTCGGCAATGGCAATGGAATTGAAGCGATATGGGGGGTTGATCAATATTCCCTTCGGCCCCCAAATGTCCATGGGTCACCTTTCCCATTGTGGGTAACTTTCCATCTTGTCAACGGTGTTCCCCCAGTGTTCATCCCATGTAAAGGACCTTTGGATCAACCCCCATATCAGGGCCTACATGATTAGGGGGTTGTGGAGTACTTCAACGTCCCCCTGCCGACAAGATCCAGCAATGCCTGGAAGGATCCATCCAAGAGGGGCATGATGGTACTGGCCTCATCGGTTGCTTTTGTGAACATCAAGAGCGAATCTCAAGGCAAAGAATGGCCAAGTGGCTTGGCACAAAGGCACAAAAATACCTCCAGAAGCGACGAAAACGTGACTCCAGGAAACTCTCTTGACTCAAGGTGCCTGTTTTGGGGTTAAAGGGCACCCCAAAAAAAAGCAATGCCTTTGTATCATTTGTTTTGTGGGGGGAAGGGCCGCGGGGGTACCAACTCCAACTTACAGAAGAAAAAAAAGCAAAGGCGAGCCACCCAAGGAGGGCAACGAATTCGTTTCGATTCGCCGACCTCGCGGCTTCTCCCCTCCGCGCAGGCGGGGGATGGCAGCTTCGCCGCCCTGAGCCGCGCCGCGACGGCCAGCCGGCTGCCCCGAAACTCTCCGACGGTCGTTGAACCGGAGACCGGAAACTAATGCTAACCCCCCAATGAACAAACCCCTGTTTATTAATATGGGGGTGTTCCCCTCCAAAAGTGATACATCCCCACTAAAACCAGGGTCACCCCCATATTAATAAACAGGGGTTATCAATCCTGGGTCAACATTAGGTCCCCCAGCAATTGGTGCCCTTTCTCACCGTTTCTTGTTTGGTTGGGAGGGTTCCCCCACTAAAATACACACAACAAAGTTGGTACCAACGTATTGTAAGCTCTCTACTGGAGGGCCTAGAAAAGCAGCTCCAAGTTTCTACGAACCTTGCTGAGACCAAGAGAAGACATCTCCTGAGGTATGGTCCGCTTTCAAGATCTTCAAAGCCTCTTCCTAGACGGAGTTGCGTTTTTTTTCTTCCCCCGGACACTCATTCGGTGCATGTGCGGCAGATGTCCGGCTGCCAGACTCGAGCAGCAACTGGCGATGGCTCCAACAAAATGCTCCCTGTTGCGGGGGATCCAAACAAAGTTCTCCCCCAAAGTCATGAGCTTTGCTTTCGCAGCCATGCTTCCAAGTCGTTTTACGAAGCCGGTACGCTGCTGTTGGCTCACAGCACCGTCGCTGGCCCTGCGGACGCTTAAAGTTTGATCCTCGGCTTCATGGGTGGCACCTGGTGGCTAAGCAAAGGCGGGTCTGGAAACCTCCATTTGCTTAAGAACATATGTTTCCCCTTCGTTGTGTTTTCAAAGGAACTCATCACCAATGAAAGGAAAGATCCAGGTCCCGCCGAGTTGTGCAGCCTGGAACCCTGGATCGACTTCCAATCGGAGGGCCTGAAGCTGTCCACAAAATGGCGTGTTCCATGGGTTTTCCCCCCGGAGAGCCTCTAGCTATGACCTGGATCCCCGGTTGCGATCGCTTTTTTCCCATCTACTTTACCCCAAAAACCAGCAACAGTGACTGGAAAAAACGATCGCAACTTGGCTATCTAGGGAGGTTCTCGATTGAACAGAGGTGAGTTTGTTCAGCGAAATCGGGCCGGGTGGGCGCTGCAGGCGTTGGTCAGTGTGTTGTTCAGGGTTGGTCAGAGTGGTCAGGTGCTTCGGCCACATTTACCCAAACTTGGGCTAGGAAGAGGCGATCCCGGCAGAAATTTGGGTGTGGCTCAGAATCAAAGAGCTAGGGCAAACCGCAGGTCTTAGTCTTTGGTTCCATTTACCAAGGCGCCATTTTCGGTACATCTTTTTGAGCCTCAAATCCAAATTCGAAAAATATATATGGAATTTTGGGGGTCCTCCCAAATTATGAAAAAATATCCATGGGATTCCTCCGCAGGTTTTTTGCGTCGAGTCGCCCGAGGTCTGCTGAGTCACCCAAGAGGTGTGGCGGTGGCTTGCGGCGATGGCTGACGCGCCCCAGCAGGTGGCCCGGCTGGGGACGGCGAGCTCGCTGCAGTCCGCGCCCAGGATGCGCACCCCGGAGGACGGACGCGGGAGTGGAGGAGTTGGGTGATTTTTTTGAGGACACACGACCGAATTCACCCCCAAATGGTGGGTTCCGGTGATGTGGGGAGTAGCCCACCGCAAGTTTCAGGTTGGTGAAATCTGATCATTCACCCAGTTGGAGGAAAGTTCAGCCGCCACCCTGCTACCAATTGCTCCGTTGTTCAGTGGAAACCCATTCTTTTGCCCTCTTTTTTTGGTGGCCCCACTCAAAATGGTCTTCCCCAAGCAGGGTTCCCTTTTTTTCCAGGGTCACTCAACAACTGAGATTGAGTCACTTGCTCAAAACCCGGGTAAGTGAAGGTTAATCCAACAATGCCTGGAAGAATCCATCCAAGAAAAGCATGATATCTACTGGCCTAACCCAGTAGCTTGGTAACCCACTTACCATAGTTGTAGGTCTCCTAAATGGGTTATACCCAACCTTACTAACCTAGGTCCCCCAGCTAGGCTCCCTTTCTCACCGTTTCTTTTTTGGTTGGGAGGGTTCCCCCACTAAAATAGACAGAACAAAGTTGGTACCAACTTCTTCTAACCTCTCTGCTAGAGGACCTAGGGTCACCAATTGCCCATACTGGTCTTTAGTACTGGTCTGAAAAAGGTCACTCTTAGGCAACCATGTTTTTTTTTGCTACGGCACTGAACCAGCAATGCCAGGAATTTTGAGAAGGAGCCACCTCGAAAGTTCTTGGTGGACATAAATCCCCATCGTAATGAGGGTCCTTTATTGCAGTTCACACCCTTTTCACTTGTACCCTTTGGAAGGAAAATTGTTCAAACCAGGACCCCCCGAAGCGTTAGGTTCTATGTTAATTGGTGGGAGGGTAATTCTTGCTGGTGCCATAGGCATGGAATGAGAATTGGAATGACCCCTAGAAAAACCATCCCCGATTTGGTTTCCTTTACGAGGATCCCATGGCGATCCAGGTAGGCTATCCTTCACACGCCCCCTTCTAAACGCGTGTCGTCAGTTGCACTCCATGCAACATGCATGAAGGGCATGTGTGCCAAGCGCATTTGTTTAAGCGGGGTTGCTGTTTCAGGGCGGAGAACCGTCTCCCACGTTTTGGGAACCTTGTTCCCGCTTTGCTTTCTTCTGGTCCCACGAAGCGACACTGGATTCGATTCGTCCCGGGTTCGACGGTTTTGGCGGTCCTGGCGGCGACAAATGGGGGGCCCTAGGACAAGCATCGGCATTTAGAACAGAAAACCAACGAGGGGAGATATTTGTTTGTTTGCTCTTGTTTTTTTCCAAAACCCCTATTCGGCACCTGGATGGGGCTAAGATGGAGTTTGGTTCAGACGCGCCACGGTCAAACGAATTGTTGACGCGGGATTGGGATAGTCATCGACCTCTTTGTAGGAGGTTGGCTTCCAAAATCAAAGCTAGTCGACTGTTTCTTAATTTGTGTGGGAAGGACATAGAAGGACAACCCAAAATTCGACCCAAAGTTCCCCGAGCCAGACAGGACGACTTACGAGTTTTCCCATGTTTCACGGCTGAAAGGTCCTTTTACGGTGCTGGCAGCACAGCTCACCTCTGATCACCGCATTTTCTCGCCACGGCTCATTTGTGAGAATTTGACGTGAGCATAGGTTTCTCTCCGAATCGGGAAGTTGCCAGTTTTGCATGACTTTTTTTTGGGTTCTGGGGGCAACCACCCCCAAAAATGAGGTTCACTTCGAGAGGACCGAACTAATGTTCGCCCCGGA